CTTGGTTGATTACTACTCGGAGAAGACCTCGGTACATCGGAGGGATCCGTGATATCCCAAGATTGTACATTTTGTGCCAATGTATTGAAGTACTCTAGGGCTTCATTGGGATCCTTGTTTAAAAACTCCCCATTGCACATCATGTCTATGAACTATCGATGGCCCGGTGTAATCCCTTCATAGAAGAAACTCACCAATTGCCATGGTTTTTTTTTTTTAACAAAAACACAAATTTTATTGATTGAAATCCAAAATTACAAGAAGCAAACATTTACAAGAATCAAACAATGATATTTTCGAAAAAATTTTGAAGGCTTTAATCCTTCAAAATCCCCAAGAAAGTATGAAATAACTCCAAGGAGACAAATTTTCTATCCAAAAAGTAAGGCCATTACAAAGGCAATGCACCTCTGTAACTCTTCCTCCTCAAAAGTGAGCCATACTTCACCTTCAGAATTCCCAGCCAATAAGACTGCAAAAAAAATAAACATAGCCCCCTGCATTTGACAGCAAACAGAACCTACAGCTTTTTTCCATCCCCTTAATCCACCAAATATCTTCTCAACCATTATCATCAAACAACAGAATATTCTTAGTACGTAGGACAGGCAATCCTCTCTGGTCCTGAACCAAACACTGAATCACAGCCCCAGACACCTGATCAGAACCAACAAATTCAAAAGAAAACCCATCTTGGACTGCTCTGTTAGCCAATGCATCAGCAACAAAGTTTTCTTCTCTAAACACATGGTTGAAAGTAAACTTTAAACCATTTAGATGAATTTGAATTAGGTCCAGGATTCCTAGCAATGACCAGGCACAACCATCAAACCCTTAATAGAATTCACTGTAACCAAGGAATCTGACTTAATCCATATTTCATAAACATTTAGCCCATTCCTATATACCATATAAAGGCCATCCAACAAAGCCTTAAACTCAGCCTGCATATTAGAATCAGTTCCATACCAAAAAGAACCAGCACAGATTAAACCTCCCCATTCATTTCTCAGAACTGTCCTCCCCTAGCACCAAGATTGCCCTTAGCAGCTCCATCCATATTTAGCTTAAGGATTCCAACAGCTAGACAAACCCAACACACCCATATAGCTTTGATAGACAACACATATGGCACAACTATGCTTAAGGATAGCAAAAGCATTTTGCCATTAGCACTATCCATAACTTTGGGTCTGACATTCCTAACCTAAAACCCTAAAAGACTACAAATCTTCAAGAAAATAGAATAGGAATTTAGTTTACCCTCTCTAGCTCTCCTCCTGCATCTGTCCTTCCACTCTTGCCAAAAAATCAATAATGAAAGGCTTCTCATTAGGGAACAAAATAAAAACTTTCTTTTAAACACCCTGAAAAGCCTCTGCATTCTGACCAGGGGCAACTTATCCCCAATCAAATGTAAACCACTAATGGCAGCAAACCTTCCCCATATGGCCTTTGCATACTTGCATTCCACAAATAAATGCATTTAATTCTCCTCCTCTTCACCACATAAATCACATCTACTCACAAGGGAAACTCCACACAACCTAATTCTAGAATCTTGAGGCAATGCCCTCTTTAACATTTTCCAGTCAACCAGTTGTGCACTAGGAGCTATGGTGCTCATGCTCTATATAGACTCAACAACCTCATTCCTGACCCCTTGTGCTCTTACCAAATTCCATGCATCTTTTAAACAAAAAATACCAAATTTAGAATGCTGCCACACAAGTCTGTCAACCTTATTAGAAAGAGACAGTTGACAACTAATAATTTTTGCCTTCATTTGTGTAGGCAACCAACTCTCTACTTGCTCAAATTGCCACTGAGAATCAATCAAAACCTCAGATATTTTTGGAAAATACTGAGGCATAACCTCTAATCTACAAATCAAAGCCCCATTCTGTAACCATTGGTCACACCAAAAGTCAGTTTGGTCTCCTCTACCAACCAAAATTTTTCATTGCATGACAACCTTCACAAAAAAAAGGCCTCAAAGCCTTAAAACATTTAGAGTTACTCCCATTACCACACCTCAGGAGGTGTTTTCCCTTTAGGAATTTAGTAGAAAACACCTAAGCCCACAATGAAGAACCTTGCATTAAGTTCCAAATCTGTTTAAATCTAAAAGCCACTTGCAGTTCCTCAAACTTTCTCACCCCCAAACTACCCTCAGATTTAGATAGAGTAATTTTATTCCAAGCCACCCAATGCCTTTTCCTAACCTCCATTCTATTGGACCATATAAACCCTACCATGATTGAATTTAACTTGTGCAGAATGCCTTTAGGCAAATTCAAACAAGCTATAAGATGAATAGGTACAACACTTAACACAGTCTGCACCAATAATACCCTGCCCATGTTTGAAAGTATTTTAGCATACCATCCTTCAAGTTTACTCCTAAACTTACATACCACACTTTCAAAATCTCTAATCCTGGATCTTCCATTAATAATTTGGCACCCAAGATATACAAATGGACAATGTTTAACTGGAATACCAGCTAAAGAAGCAAGTTCCTGTCTTCTACTAGCAGAAATAGCCTTAGAACAAAACATAGAGCTTTTCTAGACATTCACTTTCTGACCAGAACTCTGCTCATATTCTCCCATAAACCTCATTAAGTTCACGAATGACCTTTTGTTTCCTCCAAAAAACACTAAGGTATCATCAGCAAACAACAAGTGAGACACCAAGGTTGTCCCTCTCCCCAAATGGTACCCTTTCACCAAACCATCTAAATACAACCTCTTCAAACCCCTGGTAAGTACTTCCTCAGCAAGAATAAACAAGCAAGGGGAAATTGGATCCCCTTGCCTCAAACCCCTAGAAATAGGAAAGAACCCAGCTCTTTGTCCATTTACACAAATTGAGACATATTGGCTCTGTAAAAAATTTGCAATAATACTAACAAACAACTCAGAAAAACCAAAACAAGAAAGAGTTTTTAGCAGAAAATCCCACTCAAGCCTATCATAGGCTTTCATCATATCCAACTTCAAAAACATATTCCTAGCCTCCACTTTTCTATCCAAATTCTCCACCATTAGCTGAGCTAGAGCAATACATTCACCCCCACTTCTACCCTTAACAAAACCATGTTGTCCAGCAGATACCACCACTGGTAGCACAGAGGCTAACCTAGATGCCAAAAGCTTAGTAAATACTTTGTATAAGAAATTACATAAGCTAATTGGCCTGAAATATGAGAAAGACACATGATTAAGCTTCTTAGGAATCAACACAAGCAAAGTGGCATTTGTAGACCTGGGAACTTTACCACCTGACAGGAAAAAATTGACAGCACTTATCATTTCCAGTTTAATGACATCCCAGGCCGCCTGAAAAAACTTTCTAAAAAGGCCATCAACCCTAGGAGCACTATTCACAGACATGGAAAATACCACACTCTTAACTTCCTCTTCAGAAGCCACATCAGTCAATTTCCTATTCATATCTTCATCCACCAACAAAGGAATTGCAAAAAATAAACTCTCCTGCAAACTATGCTTCTCAGACTTATACAAAGTAGAATAAAAATTTACAGCAATCTCAGCAATCTTTGAATTAGAACATACTTATGCCCCAGACTCATTTTGAATCTTAGAGACTTTATTTCTAACAACCTTTTCTTTAGCCAATGCATGATAAAACTTGGTGTTTTTCTCCCCTTCCATTGCCTGTCTTATATTTGCCTTCTGCCTCTAGTGAATTTCTTCTAACCTCAACACCTCATCCAACTCCTTTTGAGCCTTTTCCATTGCCAAGACATTATTTTCAGCATTTTCCATTTCAAGCAGCACTTCTGCCTTTTGAAGCTCCTCCTCTTTTCTCCTAATCCTTTCAAAAATATTACTAGAAATCTCTTTATTCCACCTCTTCAAATGTACCTTCAAATATTTCATCTTTAAGAAGATATTCTCAATAGGGTTTTCAGCATAAACTCCGCCCCATTTAGAACAAAACAAAGGCATAAACCCAGGATCTTCCACCGACATATCCTAAAATTTAAAAAATGAAATCCTAATTTGATCAACCTCCTAGACTTTAAGCAAGATAGGGCTGTGGTCAGAACTCCCCCTAGCCAAATGTACCACCTCCATACTTCCAAACTTCATAAACCAATTAGCACTAAACAATAGCCTATCGATCCTCTACCACATCTTGTTCTGGCCTTGATACTTATTGCACTAGGTAAACCTGCTACTAGTAAAACCAACATCCTGTAAACTTGCTTCATGTACAAATCTCCCAAACTCCTCCATATCAACATTTGAGGGATAGGCACCCCCAACCTCTCCTCTGAACTCAAAATAGCATTAAAATCCCCACCTATCATCCAAGTAGAGGAAGCCACACAATCCAGCCCCAAAAGATGCTCCCATAAGGGCCTCCTCAAAATGTATTCACAAGCTACATATACCAATGTAATATAAACCACTTTAGAATCCATGTAAGAGGCTTCAATAGTTAAAGAATTTTCTTGTTGTGCCACTATATGTACCTGAATTTTATCATCCCATAAAACCAAAATATTGCTTTTAGCTAAAGGATTGAATGCATAATTAGACAATCCTATAGACATGGCCAATCCATGCAACTAATCACTCCCCATTTTTGGTTCCTGAATGGACACCATGCATACATCATTCATCCTCACCAACTCCCTAAGCCTACGTCTTCTCAGAGCATTCTTATCTCCCTTCATATTCCAAGATAAAAAATTAATAATGAATAAGAGTAGAAAGGTTACCTTTGGACCTCAGTCTAATAGAAGCTTCATTGGAAATCTTATTGAGAACAATAAAATTAGTTTCCTCCTCCTCATCAAGCTCCTCTATAAGGTTTCTAGACCTTTCCAAGTTAGTATTAGACACATATCTCTTATCTGGGGGATCTATTCTCCTTTCTAGCCCAATCTCATCATCCATAGACATATTCATACCTTTCCTTGTAGCATATTGATGCTCTACATAGAAAGAATCTCTAGAAGAAAATTAGAATTGTCTATTCTCATTACACAAATTCCCAGAAATCCCCCCAGCTTCATTAAGTGAAGTATCAAAAATCCCAACCTGAACCTCCCTCTCTAAGCCATCTAAATCCTGCTGAGATTGCAAACCAGCATTAGAATTATCATGCACATCATTCTCATGCCTCTCTTCCTGATTCATCTCAATCCTACCATCATGCATAACCTCCACATTAACACCTGGATCATCATTTAAATCCACCACCATATCATCATTTCCAACCAATTCATTAGAAATAATTTCTACATTTTTAGACACCTTGTTACTCACATCTTCCTTATGTAGTAATGGTTCCATATTCCCCATGGAACACTCACCCAACTTCATATGTAAACATTCATCAATCCCCTGATGCTCTTCCAAAATATTAAATCTATTCCCAACGTCCACCTCTTGCATCACATCTTTCTGTTTAAAGAATTTCTTCCCCTTATTTCTGTGAACCTCAGCCATAATTTCCTTCCTAGAATCAACCTTCTTATAATCCAATTTCCCCTTGTTCAAATGATAATCAACATTTTGCATTGAAACAACCTCTTCTCCCTCCTTTTTTTTTTCGACAACTTACATTATCATGTCCCTACTTCAGACAGTTTGAATAGTACATTACATTCTTCTCATACACAATCTTCTGCTAATGACCACTCAAACCTCCCATGTCTAGCCAAAATCTTCTTGGATTATTTGCCAACAGATTCATCTCAACATAGGCTCTAGCTACACCAGGACGTGTCAATTGTAAAGTCAATTTTTCCACCACTAGTATATGACCAATAGGACTCAATATATCTTTCAAACTATCCATATTAAACAAATAAATGGGTAGACCTGGTAAAGAAAGCCATACTGGCACTACTGGTGGCTCAATACCTAGAAGGAATTTTGGGAACCACTTGAAGAACTTAAATAGAAAACCTTCTATATAGGTTGCGTCTTTCAACCATGTATGAAAATCTTCATACAACTCAAAACACAAATCAATATATGTCTAGGATCAAAGATTCCAGCATAGAACCTTTTGGCTTCCATCTTGTTACAATGAACTCATGAATTACTCTAAGAGATGGCTTACCATATGCGCACTTCCCAATCAGAGTCTGCTGGAACTTGGAAGACAACTCCTGAGTCTCTTCAGATGTCCAGTACATGCCAAGTTCACTGTTGTTATAAACAACTCTCTTCACAGGCTTTAGAGAATTCATCATAACAAGTAGAGATTTTGTAGAATTCGACACATTCGTCTCAACAACAAGAGAATTCCTCATTTTGGAGACATCAGATTCACACACTTTCTCACCACTAGATAGAGGAATTTGACCAATTAAAGAAACATGATCAGTCAACGAGTGATTACTAGTCAAAGGGAATCGAACCAAAGAAGGAATTTGAGTAATCAAAGGAATTTCAAGAATCGAAGATGTTTGAGCAATCAAGGAGATAGACGGAGGCATCACTGATGAGTGGATTTTATACCTACGAATTGAGTATTTTTGGTTGGATAAAATTACAAGTTTTCAATTATTTTATGTTCTTTTTTAGTTATTTTGTGTGTTTTGATGTTATGGTGTAGGGATGATCATTTGGAAGGAATCATGATCATTTGGGAGGAAACAAGGTCAAATTGGAGCTTAAAGATTGGATTTTTGAAGAGGAAGCTTAAAGGGGGGGAGCGCCCCTGCGCCATTTTGGGTGTCCCTCCGCCATCAAGGGTAGTTCTTCAGCGCCCCTGCAGCATTTTTGGTGCAACTGTGTTTGTGTTTGTCCATGATGCGAATTTTGACTTGTTTATGACACAAAATTAGACTCTAAAGCTACATAGAAGCTAGGGTTTGAGTTGGGAAGAGATATTCTAATTTTGAGGGCTGATAACATTGGAAAAACGAAGNGGAGTAGGGTTCTCATTCTTCCAACTGAAGTTCGGGTGATTACTCCAATCCGGATTATATGTATTAGAGTGTGGGGAGAATGATTGCCTACTTTGATTGAAGGCATTGACTTGTTCATGGTAAATTTCTTTAAGTGCTAGAATGTTGGAATTAAAAGAAAATTGAAGACAAGAATCGAAGGAAGCAACACAAAGAAAATCAAAATCGAAGGCTAGAGAGAAAGTGAAGATTGCAACTAAGTTTTTATTCTTTTCTCTTACTTTTACTTCTTGATTTTCTAAGGTGTTGTTTAATTTTAGAATGATGTCTTTCAATTACATTATGAACTAAATCTTTATTAAGATTGCAATGGAACTTAATGTATAGTTAAATTGATCTACTCTCGTTTCTAGTTCTATTAATCATACATGAGTTGTTTGTCATATTTTGTGCTTAGTATATGATTGTTTGACCAACAATCAATGTGATAACCTAGATGAAATTGAGAGATGAATTCTAGGTTTAGATCAAAATATGATGACATGCGTCTGGTTAATTCTTCTTCGGATGTTTTTCTTTAGCTGGGTTTGTGTATAGGATATGAATATACCTATATGCCATGTGTAACTTTTATGAAAGTTTGAACTTAATGAATCTATTCCAACTTATTTTGCATAGGAATATAGTAATTTAATTGAGAGAGATAATTTTATCTAACTATCGGAAGAGGTTTGATAAAAAACTTTGAGTTCTCAGTTAACAACTTATTTTGATTAATTGACTGGAAAGAGAGTTAGCAAGATTTATACGGAGCATTTGGAGAAGTTGTAATCTTATGTTCTTTTATCCGGTAAATTCAATCTTTGATTGTTAAGTTTGGATTTAGTTTTAATTTAGTCATTTCATAGTTCAATTCCAATTGTTTAAATAAAATTGAATTGATATAAAGTTAGTACTTGAAAGTTATTAGCAATATTTTTTCGTGGGAATGATACTCTACTTATCACTTTATTACTTGTTGATAGTGTATACTTGCACGTAAATTGTCAATATCAAATTTGGACAACAATCACAAACAATTCCTCACCACCAGATAGATTCGCAGAAGAACTCAAGTCATTAATAGATCCATAACCAATATTCATAGTGCTCGAATGTTTCTTGAACAAAGAAGCAAAATTCCTAGTTATGTCATGCGGTTTCGGTGGAATTTGTTTGTGATTTTGATCAGAAATCATGATTTAATCTACGAGAATCAGTATAAACTACAGGAATTCAGTACGAAGTCTAGGAAAAATTAGTGAAATCAAAGACTTGCACAAAAAGTTTCCTAGAAAGAAGTCAGACCTTCTCTCTCTACAACTGAAAAAACTCCTCCTCCTCCCTTAATTCAAATAATTTTCCTTAATTGCCATGGTTCAAAACCATGATGTGAAATGTATTGTAGTAATTCCTTGTAGCGATCCCAACATTGATAAAATTGCTCATTGGGTTTTTTCAAAAAATTNGTTTCCTAGAAAGAAGTCAGACCTTCTCTCTCTACAACTGAAAAAACTCCTCCTCCCCCCCTAATTCAAATAATTTTCCTTAATTGCCATGGTTCAAAACCATGATGTGAAATGTATTGTAGCAATTCCTTGTAGCGATCCCAACATTGATAAAATTGCTCATTGGGTTTTTTCAAAAAAATTTGGATTTGTTTTTTAAGAGCGGTGGTCTTGGGCACCGAAAAAAATTTGTTCAAAAACTCAGAGAGCATTCGTGCCCAAGAGCTTATTGAGCGAGGCTTCAAAGAATTCAACCACATTTTGGCTTTGTCTTTAAGGGAAAAGGGGAACAATTTCATGCGAGCTATGTCTTCCATGACATGATTAGTGAGGAAGGTTGCAACTATTTCCTCAAACTTCNATTTGTTTTTTAAGAGCGGTGGTCTTGGGCACCGAAAAAAATTTGTTCAAAAACTCGGAGAGCATTCATGCCCAAGAGCTTATTGAGCGAGGCTTCAAAGAATTCAACCACATTTTGGCTTTGTCTTTAAGGGAAAAGGGGAACAATTTCATTCATACGAGCTATGTCTTCCATGACATGATTAGTGAGGAAGGTTGCAACTGTTTCCTCAAACTTCTTAATATGCAAATAAGGATTGTCCCTTTCAATTCCATGGAATTGAGGAAGTAGTTGTAACATTCTCGGTTTAACTAGGAAGACATGAGCTTAGACCGGTAAAAGAATGCATGAAAGAGTGGTGCTACGAGTGGGTTGGAGATAATCCCGCATTGACCTTGCCGGAGGATCAATTGGGATATGGTTTCCCTCATTCCTAGGAGGGAAAAAAATTCAGGGGGGGGGGGGGGGTTTGGCATTCTAGGGTTTTACATTCCCCCACCCCTTGGAACATTAGCCTCTTCATCCTCGAAATTATCACCGGTGTCCTCAAGTGGGTCTTGGTCATGATTCATATTGGGTTCTAGGGGTTGTCTAACCAATCTATTTTGGTCGTCTGTCCCCACATGCAAAAACAATATCTATAATTGAAATATAAAGTAAACAAAAGTATATATAAGGAGCAACGTATCTCGGCCCATTATGAGAATCACATGACTTACCTTCTTGTCTAAAATCACCTTCTAATTCAACATTTTGCCTTCCTCGGCAATGGTGCCAAAAATGCTTGATCACGTTCACTCTAATCTCCAAACACTAANATAAAGTAAACAAAAGTATATATAAGGAGCAACGTATCTCGGCCCATTATGAGAATCACATGACTTACCTTCTTGTCTAAAATCACCTTCTAATTCAACATTTTGCCTTCCTCGGCAACGGTGCCAAAAATGCTTGATCACGTTCACTCTAATCTCCAAACACTAACCCGAACTAAGTGTAAATGGCTTATGTGTGTAGGTGAGTGTCACTCTCCCTCAGGTTTAATGCTAGAAATGGAAAAAATGTGTGTGGGTGTGTAAAAGTGCTCTCCTAGTGAAGAGAGACTTTCGAGTGTCGTGTTATACTTGGAATTAAGTATTCCAAGGTCGTCTCCTCAGGGAAGGAAGGTTGAATTGTGTGAAGGTGATTTTGTGAAAATGAAAAGTGTAAAATCTTGTGAATTTGTGTTTTGATGAGTGGAGTCTTTGCTAAAAATGTAATGGAAACAAGGTTGGCTAATCCGAAGAGGTCATGCCAAAGGAAATGCCAAATCAACTCAAAAAATTCTTCCAATGACAACTAGGTGTTTGATTGATTCGTAAGAAGTGAGGGACTAAAATGGAGGTATAGACTCAAGCACACCCCGTGACAAGTCTACGGTATATCAAGAACTCACAACCACTTGCGCACTCAACCTAGTCAAACCAAACACTTTACACTACGAGGGAGAATGAAGGAGAGTTGATTTAGCATACCCAAGAGGAAATCTCCCTTGAATTAGCCAACATAAAACTTAGCTACTCATATTAAATGGAAGGACGTGCAATATAGANATGAAGGAGAGTTGATTTAGCATACCCAAGAGGAAATCTCCCTTGAATTAGCCAACATAAAACTTACCTACTCATATTAAATGGAAGGACGTACAATATAGAAAGAGACATGGTAATGAAATGGAGATTAAAACTTGTATTAATGTAAAGAAAAGTTAACTACAAAGATAAGTGCATTTAAAACCCATTTGGAAAGCTTGAGTAAAAAAGCTTAAATGTAACAGTGGTAGATTCAAATATATATGACTAAACTTGCAACACACTTGAAATAAATGACATTAAAGTGCAATAAATGAAGATTACAAAAGTCTTATAGCTTACTACAAGTGAAATGGGTAAGAAAATGTAAAAATACAAATTTTCTCTCTCCAAACTATGTCTTCGTCCTTGAGCTTCTCTCTCTACAATGCTGAATAATGGTTTACAATGGTGTAACTCTTGCATTTTTGTCCATGAGGCTCCTATAGCTCATGTGTGCAGGTCTCCCATCAATAGGAGGTGAGTTGATGGCTTGGACAAGTCTAACCTGCAACCCCCAAGCTCCCTCATTCTCTCTCATTCTCATAAATGCATTGGCCTCCAAAGTCTAACCCTAGGTGTAGGGAGGCATGCTAAGATGTGTGACATGTCAGGGATGTGTGGGAGAAGCAATGGTGGGAACCCCAAGGGGTAGAGCTTGAGTTGTAGAATCTGACATTTTTCAGTAAAATCTTCCGAAAGGTTGAAGCAAAACCTTCCGGAAGGTTTTGACAGGGGCAGAGGTAAAAGTTGTCCAGTGTGCAAAACCTTCTGGAAGGTTTGAGGTAGATCCAACTACAGTGTGCAAAACCTTCCATAAGGTTTGAGGTAGATCCAACTCTAGTTTGCAAAACCTTTTGGAAGGTTTTCTTCTGACTTACCTTTTCTTGATTTCTTCACCTTCCCAGCCTCCCGTTAAGCCACCCCTCTTCTCCATTGACTTTGAGCACTACAATGGAGGCTTAACTCAAGCCANTGTGCAAAACCTTCCATAAGGTTTGAGGTAGATCCAACTCTAGTTTGCAAAACCTTCTGGAAGGTTTTCTTCTGACTTACATTTTCTTGATTTCTTCACCTTCCAAGCCTCCC